TGTGCCGATGTTTCTTGGCATCCAGCACACCAGGTTCGAAATTTCTGAGATGTTGTGTTTTCTCCAGTCCACTGGGCATCAAACATAGTGATTGATGACCCTCGTTTCTTCAAAGGGGCGTGACCATCGTAAGCAAAACCCGTCTTCTGGAGATGTCTTGCAGAGGCCTAAAGACCAAGTACCGGTCTTGATCTGTTCTGGCGTACATGTTCTCCTTCGGATGCTGTTGATCAAAGGCCCCCCAAGTATTCAACATCAGTAGTAAGCACAGCAACAGCAACAGCAAGAATGCAAACAGCAGAAAAACAACGACGAAGATGACGACGACGACGACGGCGACGACGACGGTGTTCCGACGCCCTGCTCGTGTGCGTTTATGTGAGAGAGCAGGATGTACAAGAAACACCAATGCACGCGCGTTTCCCATTTGCACCATGCTTGGCATGTTGAAACAGCCCAGGGTTTCACAAGAAACCTTCCGTTTTCCAGGTTGAGCCAGCCCCCCAAGGTTTACAAGAACAACTCTGTTTTTGCGGTTGAGCCAGCCCGAACGGCTCCAGCCAGAAGCGTAGAACAGCAACAGCAGCAGGCCCAAGAACAATAGCAATATGAGTAGCAATAACAAGTAAAGCAATCAAGAAAACAATGCCCGCAAAGGCCTCTGCAAAGCACCATGTCCGCGTCAGATTCGGGAGACAAGCCTCCCAGAGGCCCAGAGGACCTGAGCTCTGCAATGCGCTTCGATTGCGGTGCCGTCATCTGGTAAGGGTTTCCCACAAGAGCCAGTCTAAACGAGAGCTGCGAACTTCCCCCCAGAAAAGGCGAGTTCTGCCAGTATTGGGTTTGTGGATTGCCTGGAACGGAAACATCTGCACAGACGCGAGTGTAAAGAGGCTTCGCCTTCACAAGGACTCACAGCCAGGAAGTAGTGCATTGTCATAAAGCCGTCAGACCCCTGCATTCAGCAGTTAAGCAAGTCGTGGAGTCGTGGGCTGTGTTTGAGGTGTGGCTAGTGAAGACGGCACTTGCACGGCACTTGCAACAGCCATTTTGCCAGTCGATGCTGCAAGCAAGGCGCGGCCGCCCGTTACAATTAAATGCTGCTTAGAAGATGTTAGAGAAGTTAGCGAGTTGTTTACTGGGGGCGACCCTGCGCCACAGCCTCGGAGATTGGCCGTGGTTTCCAAGATGCTTGCGCATGCGACGCTATGCGACGCTGTGCGACGCTCGAGTTCTCCCTGCGAGGCCAACGGTCTCGCAAGGTTGGGCAGCCGCCCGTCATGCCATGGATCTAGAACTGCATTGGGTCATGTCATCCTGCAGACACTTCCTCCACACACTCAGGATACTAATGCTGATTCTGCATTCTCGAAAACATTGAGGCAGATTATACAAAACTAGGGTGTCAAGGAGTGTTGACTAAGGGAGTTTGGGTGTAGGGTGGCAGGTAGAGCAGAACCGGTGCTCAGGGACCCGCTTTTAGAACCCTGCGCACGGCGCGCATGAGCATTGCCCAAAGGGAAAATGCACTTATCATATAGAGGGTTTTGAGGATTTCCGCAATGGGCTTTCCGAATGGGTCTAGTAGTTCTTTCGGGTCCCCAGAGTAAGTTCTTTTAACAAATGTAAGTACCACATAGGTACATGGACCCTTGGGTTCGAAGATTCTTGGGCTCGAGGACCCTTGGGCTTTAGGGTTTAAGGTTTAGGGTTTCGAGCAGTAGGTTTCCTTCTAAGAGCACCAAAAGCTAACATAGCTTGCATACGTACCATGCGGTATACTTTGTTGGTATACTATCTAGTATACTATATATAGTCTACTGTATAGCTAGATGGTATACGATGTGGTTCAGAATCTCATGTGCCGATGTTTCTTGGCATCCAGCACACCAGGTTCGAAATTTCTGAGATGTTGTGTTTTCTCCAGTCCACTGGGCATCAAACATAGTGATTGATGACCCTCGTTTCTTCAAAGGGGCGTGACCATCGTAAGCAAAACCCGTCTTCTGGAGATGTCTTGCAGAGGCCTAAAGACCAAGTACCGGTCTTGATCTGTTCTGGCGTACATGTTCTCCTTCGGATGCTGTTGATCAAAGGCCCCCCAAGTATTCAACATCAGTAGTAAGCACAGCAACAGCAACAGCAAGAATGCAAACAGCAGAAAAACAACGACGAAGATGACGACGACGACGACGGCGACGACGACGGTGTTCCGACGCCCTGCTCGTGTGCGTTTATGTGAGAGAGCAGGATGTACAAGAAACACCAATGCACGCGCGTTTCCCATTTGCACCATGCTTGGCATGTTGAAACAGCCCAGGGTTTCACAAGAAACCTTCCGTTTTCCAGGTTGAGCCAGCCCCCCAAGGTTTACAAGAACAACTCTGTTTTTGCGGTTGAGCCAGCCCGAACGGCTCCAGCCAGAAGCGTAGAACAGCAACAGCAGCAGGCCCAAGAACAATAGCAATATGAGTAGCAATAACAAGTAAAGCAATCAAGAAAACAATGCCCGCAAAGGCCTCTGCAAAGCACCATGTCCGCGTCAGATTCGGGAGACAAGCCTCCCAGAGGCCCAGAGGACCTGAGCTCTGCAATGCGCTTCGATTGCGGTGCCGTCATCTGGTAAGGGTTTCCCACAAGAGCCAGTCTAAACGAGAGCTGCGAACTTCCCCCCAGAAAAGGCGAGTTCTGCCAGTATTGGGTTTGTGGATTGCCTGGAACGGAAACATCTGCGCAGACGCGAGTGTAAAGAGGCTTCGCCTTCACAAGGACTCACAGCCAGGAAGTAGTGCATTGTCATAAAGCCGTCAGACCCCTGCATTCAGCAGTTAAGCAAGTCGTGGAGTCGTGGGCTGTGTTTGAGGTGTGGCTAGTGAAGACGGCACTTGCACGGCACTTGCAACAGCCATTTTGCCAGTCGATGCTGCAAGCAAGGTGCGGCCGCCCGTTACAATTAAATGCTGCTTAGAAGATGTTAGAGAAGTTAGCGAGTTGTTTACTGGGGGCGACCCTGCGCCACAGCCTCGGAGATTGGCCGTGGTTTCCAAGATGCTTGCGCATGCGACGCTATGCGACGCTGTGCGACGCTCGAGTTCTCCCTGCGAGGCCAACGGTCTCGTAAGGTTGGGCAGCCGCCCGTCATGCCATGGATCTAGAACTGCATTGGGTCATGTCATCCTGCAGACACTTCCTCCACACACTCAGGATACTAATGCTGATTCTGCATTCTCGATCACATTGCCTGATGGTCCAGCAACCGTCTTTTGCATAGTCGATGCTGCAAGCATGGTGCCCAGACGCTCAGGCAGTTCTCGCATGCTAACACTGGGCAAACAGATTGTGCAACTGATGACCTTTGACGCTTGCATGGGCTGATGCTGCTTGGTCTTCCTATTGATTCCTATTGACGTGCTGTGTCTGCTAGAAGATAGGAAAGCACACTGGTGATCTCGCGGGTGCTGAAGCAACAATCTCTGGGCCCCTAGACCCCCAACTCTCGCACTTCTCCCATTCTCGCCTAGGGACGAAACTGCTTGCAGCTGTCTGGCTTGTAGCACCGTGGTGGGCCAGGCATGCTAGGGGCATCCCCCTTCGAACAAGCCGGCCAAGCAGGCAAACATCGACATGAGGATAAATCAAGGTTGGGGAGACGGAGAGCAAGTCCCTGCTGATCGCAACGAACATGGCATGCAACAATCGGTTGCCGGCTCAGATCCAGATACAAACTGGACTGGTGAAATTTTGTTAAACGTCAGCAGAACCTGTTGGTTGCAACTCAGATGTGATCCCCCCTAAACCTAAACTCTAAACCTTAAGCCCTACCGAATCTCTCAGAGAGCTGAAAGTGTGAGAGGGGGCGAGGGGTGGTAGAGTTTTGTTCCGCAACAGAAGCATAGGCCCGGCAGAACCCGAGCCAACGAAGATCGCAAGCCTCGTGTTTCGGCTTTCGGTTCAGACCGGCAGGCTGAATCTATGGGTAGTTACATAAGGTAGGGTTTGCAGGGTTTAGGGTTTAGGATTTAGGGTTTAGGGTTTAGGGTGAGTTTTTGGTGAGTGTATATAAGGTCTGTTTTCAATATTTTTTAAATATTGGTGAGTGTTTGTGTTGGGTGTCCTTTTGGGGCTGCTTGCAATATATACCATGGGCCACATGGCGCCTTAACATGGTCCAATGCCTTCTTTAGTGTGAAAACCTATGGCCCTTTTGGTTCTATAGGGTATATAGGGCGCAGGCGACCCAACATAAGGCTTTAGGGTTTAAAGGTTCAAGGGTTTTGGGTTTAAAGGTTTAAGGTGCGTGGTTTTGTATGGCTAGGACAATTCGAGCGATGGCTTCTGCATACCAAGTAAGTCTGATTAAGTCTAATTCCAATTCATTCGAGTGAGGCTGCTTCTACTTCGCATTAAACCTTCAAACCTTAGTAGGGTGGAAGATCACTACAGATCCTTCTGAGCTGAGCCCAGGATACCTGCAGTCCCTTCACCCTGAATCAGCTACCATTCCTTGGGCCATCCTCACTGCAACTCGTTGACTCACTTGGAGCCCGGCACTGCCAGCCTTCAGAGCCTCAGAACTGACCGTCGAGGCTTTATGGACCTTTCGGGTTAGTGCATCTTTCCTTGCACCTTAGCGGTGCCAGAAGTCAACTGGGAAACCAAGCGAGCACCGCGCAAGCCCGCCGTCATCCATGCACTGTGAAGCTAGTTGGAACGCACTTGCGCTTGATTTCAGAGGCCATGGTGGCGCATGAGAAGCCAAGAAGGTGACCTTCAGAAGGTGCTGGTGGCGAGTCCACGGGCCCGCATCCCTGAAGCCAGCCTCGCTCAGTCCACAAACATCCCTGTTGGATGCCTTGCCTTCGCCTCCTCAGCCCTTGTCCGTCCTAGAGCTCTCTAGGCCCCAAGTTCCAAATCCTAGAAAGTCCAAGCCATGCAACCAACCCTAAACTGTCAGGTAGGTTGATGTGTGCTGTGCTGTCTGCACCTCGTTGTCTGCCAACATGTATGTTTGCATTCTGCCGCTGGCCGCAGCTCACTCAAACGAAGCAAAGAAAGTTTCCCATCCCCGTGTCGGAGTAGATCTTTCCGAAGATACTCCGGTTGGTCGGCATTTGCCGGCAATGTTATCATCAATGAAGCCGCACGTTCGCGTGCTGATGTTGGCTGCTTGTTGCACCACCTCGTGGACCTTTAAGTTGACCGAGAGCCCGATCCAGCTGTCCGACTCCAACAACGAAACCGCCAACAGGATGATTGAGGAGGTGGTGTCCGAAAACATGCAGAGGGACATGAATGACATCAACGGGCTTCCGAACCCTGGGGTCGACAATAAGAGCGAGAGCAGCGAAGGCTTTGGCGAGCTTGCAAAAAACCTGGAGTTCTTGCTCTTGAAGGTCGCGCAGCTCGAGACGGTGGCCGAGATGCATGAGGCATCGATCCAAGAACAAGCCAAGGTGATCCAAGCACAACAAGAGGAGATTAATGCCTTGAAGGGCGAAAGTCACAAAGATGGAGCGGTCTTGCTGGAGATGCACAAGGACTCCCAGACACGATTGAATGAGGCCCAGGACCTGGTGCAGAGAGTGATGCTGAAGCAGACGCGCCAGCGACAAACGCGCGACTTGGCTGCCTTTGGCGCTGCAAATTCAGCATCTGGTCAAACCATGTCAAAAACCTTGGGGACACCTCAGGCAATTTCCACGAAGGTCTCCCCTCGGACGAGCCGCACGCATCGGGTGTTGAGGAACCGGAGGTAAGCTTGGCGGCTGAGAGTGCGTCGTCCTCTGAGGAAGAGTCCGCAGCTCGTCCTGCCGCAATAGAGTGCTCTGTGCTGGCACTTGATCTGGTTGCTTAGTTCAAGTTTCTCCAAGTTTCGCGCGTGACGGCTACTACAGCTGAGGCAAAGTGGCCTTGGAAACACCGCAGAAGAAGATGGAACCCAGTGCATATTGCCAAAAGCATGGCCGAAACGCTGGCTGACGGCTATGCTGCCGCAAAGGACAAGGCGGGGCAGCGGGGCTTGCACATGCTTGCACCATGGAGAAGCTTCCAGGTCCTAGCAGTGGCGCTTTGTGGGTCGAGTGCTCTAAAAGACTCTAGACCTTGGTGGGCTCCCCTGGCACGCCTTTGTCTAGAGATGGTAAGAGCCCTGTGAGGCAAAGTGGGTACGTGAGAATACCATCAACACAGTGGAGAAAGCCGTCAAGGTTCTCAGCCAAGGCTTCTCGAATTTTGGTGCCTCGTGCCCATACAGAAGACATCCGAGTATCACAAGCTTCACTTCTGAGAACCTGAAGATCGACTTTGGAAGGTTTCAATGCACAATCTCGCTGATAGGGCAGAGCACGGGGTTGTTCGGATTCAACTTCGGAAGTCGATCCATCGCGCTGCCTTCTGCACTAAAGACCGCGGCCACACTCGGTAGTGAGCTCGGGAGCTGCATGAAGCAAGGGTTCCAACTTTTCCGTTGCATCAGTGACAAGGCGACAGACATGATGTCCTGGGCGTCCGTAAAGAAGATCGGCGGATGGATGCTTAACCCCGCCAAAGGCTTCCCCTCCTTGGCGACCGTGGCCAAACTGGGTGGTGAGCTCGCTAGCTGCACGCAAACAGGCACCGGCATTCTCAGTTGCCTCAGCGACAAGGCCACCAACGTGATGTCCTGGGGATCTGTAGAAAAGATCGGCGGATGGGTCATTAACCCCACGCGTGGCGTGCCCTCCTTGGCAACGGCGGCCACACTGGGTAGTGAGCTTGCGAGCTGCATGAAGGAAGGGTTCCAACTTTTCCGTTGCATCAGTGACAAGGCGACAGGCATGATGTCCTGGGGATCTGTAGAAAAGATCGGCGGATGGGTCATCAACCCCACCCATGGCGTGCCCTCCTTGGCGACCGTGGCCAAACTGGGTGTTGAGCTCGCTAGCTGCACGCAAACAGGCACCGGCATTCTCAGTTGCCTCAGCGACAAGGCCACCAACGTGATGTCCTGGGGATCTGTAGAAAAGATCGGCGGATGGGTCATCAACCCCACCCATGGCGTGCCATCCTTGGCGACTGTGGCCAAACTGGGTGGTGAGCTCGCTAGCTGCACGCAAACAGGCACCGGCATTCTCAGTTGCCTCAGCGACAAGGCCACCAACGTGATGTCCTGGGGATCTGTAGACAAGATCGGCGGATGGGTCATCAACCCCACCCATGGCGTGCCCTCCTTGGCGACAGTGGCCAAACTGGGTGGTGAGCTCGCGAGCTGCACGCAAACTGGGTGGGGTCTTATGCGTTGCCTCAGCGACAAGACCACCAACGTGATGTCATGGAGCTCCGTGAACACGATCGGAGATTGGATCATCAACCCCGCCCATGGCGTGCCCTCCTTGGCGACCGTGGCCAAACTGGGTGGTGAGCTCGCGAGCTGCACGCAAACTGGGCCCGGTATTATGGGTTGCCTCAGCGACAAGACCACCAACGTGATGTCATGGAAATCCGTGAACACGATCGGCGGATGGGTCATCAACCCCACCCATGGCGTGCCCTCCTTGGCGACAGTGGCCACACTGGGTGGTGAGCTCGCGAGCTGCACGCAAACTGGGTCGGGTCTCATGCGTTGCCTGAGCGACAAGACCACTGACATAATGTCCTGGGGCTCAGTGGGGAAGATCGGCAATTGGGTCATCAACCCCACCCATGGCGTGGCCCCTTTAAGCCACCTGAACCGCGTGGGCGACATCCTTGCCGATCTCCTTGAGGGCTTCGGGAAGGTTGCGGCCTCGGTGGCAGGCCAGGTCCTGTCGGGCGGCAGCTCCCTCATCCAAGAGGCCGCCCTCTCAAGGCGAGTTCGGCTGGGGGGTAGGACTAGGAGATCCCTGCGTTACGCCAGTAGCTTCCGCTGTCAGGTTCCCGGCTGCCGGGGCTGCACCCGTGGTGCATCACTCCGGGTCAAGTCTCGTGATCACCACCCATGCGCAAGAGCATCGGCCGAAGATGTCAACCCTTCAAACGGGGGAGGCCGATGATGGCTTCGGCTTTAAGCTCCACAAGGAAGGCGGCCACTACCAGTCCAGATTGGTCACACAGTGCCTAGCTTGCACGGGAAAGGCAACTCCATCAAACCAGTTGGAAAGAAGCCTGTTTCGTTTCGAGATGTTTCGAGGTTCGATGGCGACGAAAGGGACACGAGCTCCTGCCTGGCATTCGCACCGAAGAGCAAGCACGGGGCCAACGGGCAGGCGACCGAGTCGGACTGGCAGGCGGGCTGCTGAACATCGGGTGCAAACGAAGGCAAAACATGGCGCAGCCAGAACCTGGAATGCCTGAGCACAAAGCTGTGAATCCAGCGTGACTCAACTAACTCGTTGCAGAATGTGCCCGGCAGCATGCCGGCACCAGGAGACCAACACAGATTGGCAATGCCGTCTGCGCAGTGGGGAGTTCATTGTGAAAAAATAGATTAGATAGATGTTGAGGGTGCGCAGACAGGTCCAGAACGAGAACGACTTTGTCGCACTGGATTCTTGGGCCGTGCCATGTGGAGCCGCGTGGATGAAGAAGAACTGGGACAAGTGGCAAGGTGCGCGGCCCGCGCATGAGCTTTGCAATGCTGTTGTGTTGTGGAGAAGAAAACATGCAGGGAAATGCCCATCGCAGGATTGCACCTTTCCTCCGAAGGTCAGGATGTTCCTTTGAAGTTGTAGCGTGTCGGGGCAGTGTCGCACCGATCCTGGAGAAAGCTTTTTCGGAGTAGGCGATGGTAGGTGGATAGACCTTCGTTGGGCCACATCCTGTCTTCCACCTATGCTCTGCAGCAACACTTGTTCAATGATCCTGTCTGGTCGCATGGCTTGCTATGTGTGCAGCACGGCGAGGGTGCAGAATTCGCTCTAGCAGCAAGACTGTTGAAGTGTGTTGTCTCATCGCGCCAGGCTACTCGTTCTACACGGCAGAGGCGGCAATTGAGAAGTGCGTGACAGTGTCTTTCAGCATCAGCGTACAGCCTGTGGCTGCCTTTGTGGGCGGCGTGCAGTTCGAATTGATGCCTAAGCCGCTGGCAACAGTGGACACGACCGTGTGTTGGCCCACCGGGCGGCCTGACGGCCAGGACTTGAGCCTGCTGCGCTTGCACATCAAGTCCAGCGGCGTACCGCTCTTGACCAGGTCTATCCGGCTGACCAAAAGGTATGGTGAGCCCAGCGACTTCACGGAAGACCATGTGCATCAGAGCACCGGAACGTGGAGCCAACCGAGCAATCCAAGAGAAGCAATCTCCCGCACGAAGCTTCTCCAGGAAGCTCTGAATGCCGAGACGCGCCAGGAACAGGCCCACAACCAGTCCGACAAGGCCCGCCAGGGAGTCTCTGATTGGATGGAGGAAGAGGAAGACCTGTACCTGGCTTCCGCCAACTATTCCCAAGACCTGGGTGTCAACTTGACCTCAGAAGCTGGGTCGTGCTTAGAAAGGCTTGATTCCGTTTCTATGGAGGTTAGCAGGGCCTGAATCTGCGAAGCTAAGGCTCAACCGCACTTAGCTAGACTTGATGTGTTTGACTCTGTTTGATCCAAGTGTAGGAACTGCGTGGAACAGCGGCTGCACGTCGATTGAGCCTCGCTGCTGCCCAGTCCCAGGGAGCCCCACAGCAGCACATAGCAGCATAGGGACTTCGTCTCGTCTCGCAGAACTTACCGGAAACAACAGACATGATCGTGTCGTTGAGGTCTTCCAGCTCTTCAACTTTGAGCACCCTGGTGATCTGATGAATTTCAAGCTCACGGCCCTCTTGAACGGCAACAGCTTGGAGATGGGCGCTCA